GGGTGTGTGCCCTTGTAACTGTAAAACATCTTTCTCCATGGGTGTTTCAGCTTCAACTGACCAATCGTAACAGTTATATGTTTGGGGGGGAAAAAAGAAAAGTTTATACAAATGTAGCCCATTACACATATGGGTATGAAAGCAGAAAAGTGGAGGAGGCAGGGATATCTCATTGACAAACACCTTTGCCAGTTTCTTTGTATTCGTGATTTTTTTGTGCTATTAAATGCAGTATTAAAAAAAGGAAAGCCCACGAGGGCTAGTGAAAAGAGAAGAAAGAAGGGGCTTGTATAAGGGGAGCAATAGCTCCAGTAGTAGAGAAGACAAGAAATACTGTTAAGCAACCAACACAGACAGTCCTCAGCTAAGAGTATTGTGTGTGAGTGTTTTTTAAAAAAGCTGTATGATATACTTGAGCAAATCAATGAACCTCTTTGCGATTGTTTTCTCATCTGTACAATGCAGATAATTCCTACCTTAAAGGGTTATTGTTAAAGATTAAATGATATAAAATGTGTCAAAGTATAAAGTAAAAGGGTTGGAACTTTGTAGGGGCTCAGTAAACGTTTGTTGGATCTAAAACTTTGGCCCAGGACCAGAATGCATCAGAGGTGAGTGTCAGTACTACCTGAGACCCATGAACAGAATGGGCACACATGGTGTTACATGCAGTTACACACACACACACACTCTTACAACTCCCTCTACAACATTGACTACTTGGAGTCCCAAGGCAAAGGACTCCACTATTGTTCTTGTGTAGAGGGCATCACAGTCAATGCCACACCCAGGATTGAGGGGAGAACCACAACTGTCCTCAAAAGTCATTATTCTCTCCATTTGGAATACTGTCATGTTGTTTTCATGACTCAGCACCCCAGTGATGGGACTCTTAGGGCCACTAGGCTGCCAGGCTTCCACATAAAGGTGTTTGGTGGTTTTTGCCTTCTATAAGTCTTATGGATGTATCTGTTATATTCACCTACAGGCATAGATCAGCACTAAAAAGCTCGCTGGCTCACCAGCCCAGGGATATCAATGGAGTGGCATGTTGGCCTCATCCCTGATTCTCACAGAGGGCAAAGCTAAGCCAAAACAGATGGGCTGCACCCAGGTTGGGGTAAGCACTGGTGGTTCCTTCTTCTCAGCGTGAGATACAAAAGTACCTATAACCTAGGAAATCCTGGGGGGAAACTAAATGTGCATCAGACTCATGGGGCTTGTATCTGTTGGCTCTGGTAAAAGGCTGGGCTCCCCCAGGGCTTCCCAAGTCTACTTCATGGTCAACTGGAAATATATATTTAAGTGGTTGTGGGTACATCCCCAACTAGCTCATGGGCTTTTTAGGATAGGGATTGTGTCTCCTCTTGTACCCTGAGATGCATCCTCAGCCCCTAGCACTGTTCCTGACACATAGTAAGTAGATATTCAAAACATTTACTGGATGGGTGAATGAACCAATACACCTTTCATGACCAAATTTTTACCAGCACCCAGGTCCCATAATCCTCAGGAGAAAATGTAAAAAGTGTTATTTCAGGAACCTCTTGGGATAGGGGAGATCAAGAGATGAGTGGCCTTAGATGCCACTTGGCAACTTCATGCTAGGTATTTATTTGACTGCCTTTTGGGATATGTCTGGTAGCCCTGCCTGAGAAGACAGCCATGTCCTCACTTCTCATCTGTGCCACAGGAAGAGTTCAGTTAGACATGGGCCACCAGATTCTGACTGCTTGCACAGAAATGGCCTTTTACATTTTAAAAACATTTTTATTGGGAAGTAATTTTAAACTTACAGAAAAGTTGCAAAACTAAAAATAGTATAAAGAACATTGTATCCCCTTTACCAGACTTACCTATTGCTAATATTTTACTTTACAGTTTATATGTATGCCCCCGTGTGTGTGTGTGTGTGTGTGTGTGTGTGTGTGTGTGTATTTGGACCAGGACAATATGAGGGTAAATCACATACATTATAGCCCTTCATGCCTAAGTACTTCAGTGTGCTTTTCCTAAAAATAGGCATATATATTCTCTACATCTCAGTATAGTTAACTTCAGTAAATTTAACACTGATACAATACTATTATCTAATTTACCATTTTTACTCCAATTTCATCAGTTGAGATGATACTGTCCTTTATAGCCTTTCCCTTTCTATCACAGGATCTGGTCTATGTTGAGGTATTGCTTTTGAATTTATTGGGGTGACATTGGTTAATAAAATTACATAGGTTTCAGGTATACAATTCCAGAATACATCATCTGTATATTGTATTGTGTGTTCACCACCCCAAGCAAGGTATTGCTTATAGTTATGTCTCTTTAGTCTCCTTTAATCTGGAACATTTCCACAACCTTCATCTTGTATGGCATTAGCATTTTAACAGAACATTCTCATTTTAGGTTTGTCTGATCTAGAAATTGTCTTTTAAATACCCTGCACTCAGGAATAGTTCTAAGAGATGAATGGTGCAAGACTGCTGAAGCTGACCCCTCTGTCTCCTCTGGTGGAAGGCACAGACCACCAGAGGGAGCAGCTGTCCCTGACACTTCCTGATTGTAGCATGCACCTCCTCTGAAAAAAACCATTCATTGCCCCTCAGTAACAGGGAAGCCATTCAAGCCCAGCCCTATGCCCCTACCTGTTACTAACCCCCCAAACCGAGCCATGGAATGTAAAAGCAGCCAGAGTCTGCCTTCAGAACACACCACTGTGGGACACAGAGCGTTATGTATTCAGCATAATGTGTTACCTTGAATTCAAATGGAGGTTCAGGCATGTTTGAGCATGTCTGGCACATGGGTTTGCGCCTCTATAGTTATGGCCTTTAGGGGGATCAAGAAGTAACATCCTTGGCACCTTATCAACATTCCCATGGTGGACACAGCTGCAGTGGGTAGGGGCAGGGGAGGGGTAAGTACTTCTTAAGCAGCTTCATGGGCAGAGTACACGAAGATGGGGTCTAGAATTAGTAAGGAAGAACGTGGGAGATGCCGAAAACAGATTGGTTTGTCATCTACTGGGGGCTTTCAGATACCACTGGGCTATTTTACATGAGGACTGGAATTCTGTGTGAATTCCAGACGTGGGCAAGAGCTGGCATAATTTAAGCTAATTCTTTAACTGAGACTGTCTACTTTCATAAGCTGGTAAGGTCAGGGAAACAGTTTACATGTAGGTTTATGATCTGGGCCCAGAAGGGCACAAGCAAAAGATGGGTGCTCATGACTTGGGCCTTATCCACCTATAGAGCTCAGAATGAGGGACCAAACAATAGGGTACTTCCCTTTCACTAGTGACACATGCTTCCTTTGGTTTCTTGGACTAACCAGGTTGAAAATCCAGAACCTTACCACCTCCCATATTCTGGAGTAACCAGATGCTGAAACTTACTCTGGCCTACAGTTCACATAGGTAACTGCCTCACTTCTTCCCCATCCATAGGGAATCCTGATCAGGGATGCCATCAACAAGAAACAGAGTGGCCCCCATACAATTCATATTGTCATCATGCAGTAGATCTGGTGCCAAGAACCTGTGTTTGCACCAAATATATATTTACACCTAGATATGAAGGCCCAGGTCCTTTGAAAGTGTGAAACCCAGCATCCATAGGAGTGTCATTATACACTTGAGTTTCCTCTGCAAGTGACCCAATACCATTTTCAAACTCTTGTGTTGAAATATATCAAATATAGTATATGAGATGTGCACATATAATAAGGGTACAACTTGATAAATTTCTAGAAAATAAATGCATCCCTGTAAATAATATCCAGATCAAGAAACAGAACATTACCCATAAGTCAGGCCCTGTCCTGCTTCCTTCCAGTCCATAGCCCCAAATGGTAATTTCTATCCTGACTTCTTCTACTGTAGATGAGCATTGCATTTTTTATGGCTTCTATAAATAGAATTGTTCAGTATGTATACTTTTATGCCTAGACTCTTTTGCTCAACATTATTTTGTGAGCTTCAGATATGAAGTCTTTTTATTGAGAAAAAATATGAGAAGCATCACTATTTCTGCCTAATGAATTAAAAGTAAGAATCTCTCCTCTTCCTAGTGATTTCTGACATATTGAACCAATTCAAAGGGACTCAGGCCATTGCAAAGTTGGACTTCAAGGTGTCTATAATCTCACTTAGGTACAATAAAAAAGGTGGATGCTTGTTTTTAACAAACTCATAGACACAGACAACAGTATGATTACCAAAGGGGAAGGAGAGTAGGGGGAGGTAGAAGAGAATAAAGGGGGGATAAGTGGTAATGGAAGGAGACTTGACTTTGGGTGGTGAATACACAATACAATATACAGATGATGTATTATAGAATTGTACACTTGAAACCTATATAATTTTATTAATCAATGTTATCCCAATAAATTTAATTAAATAAAAAATCCACAAAAAGAAAATGGTTAATGGAAAAGATCCTTCCAGTTAAGTGTGGGATAATTTAAATAACCAGAAATATCAATTTTGGGCCATATTCTGTCCAATAATTTTGGACCCCAGCCCTGTTCCAACATCTGAATGGGATACTCTATTCTAATAAGTTCTCAAGCATGCATCACAGTCACCTGGAGGATTTGTTAACACACAGGTTGCTGGGTCCCACCTCCAGAATTTCTGATTTCAGTAGATCTGGGGTGGGGGCTTGAGAATTTGCATTTCTAACACATTCCCAGGTGATGCTTATGCTTCTGGTTCTGGGACCACACTGAGAATCACTGATCTAGTCAACTTGTTTTCACACCATGATACTCGGAGCCCAAGTTGTCTATTAAGATGCCCTGGGGAGCACATTGGAGAGCACCTTGGGGAGCAATGGAGAACGTAAATTGGTGAAGATCAGGAACTCAGCCCCACTTCAACTGGAGCAGATCCTCTTATTTATTTTACATTTTGGGGTTTCAAATAATATTTGAAGGAAGGGTTCTGCTACTAAAATTTTTTAAAGTTGAAAAACACAGTGCTAAGGAATTTTAGACCCCAGGGGAATGATGTATTTAAACTACATGGGTGGTGTATCTGGAAAATAATCCAACATGCTACAGAGACCTAGCATCATAGGTGCCCTGAATCTAGATGGTCCTGAGGGGAGCTTAACATCCTTGGAACTTAAAGAAGTGCTTATTTATGAGGATGAAAGTGATAAGGGAAAATGCTTAATTATCAATAAGGTGCAATATCATATGTATCAACTATGTTTTTTTTTCTGGCGATATGGCACACTAAGATGATACCTCCCCAACTACACACACATATTAACTGTAGATAAGCTATAACAAAAATTTTAATTGTAGCTGAGCTTAAAAAACAAAAAAAGTAAAATCTCCGGAGACACAAAAAGAAAACTTAAAGCTAATCTAGTAATTGTAAACAGACACCACGATGACCCATGGTGATACTGGTCCAAGATATTAGGCCCTGAGCACTAGGGCTTAGAGCTAGGAATCTAATGCTCATGCAGGTACTGACAACACAGCCTCAAAGTCCACCAGAGGCAGAGAAGCTGCAACTTAAACCTCTGGATAAAGCCTTTAGTAGCTTCTCTACCCATGAAAAGGGGTTTGGAAAGTAAGCAGTTAAAAGCCTTTGCTCTCTCTGGAGCCACCTGAAGAAATAAAAACCCCAAGTCTATGTCATATGTGGATGTGGGGTCTAAATTTACCCTACTGTGTGTTATGGGAACCGCATGCTGAAAAATAAAAATAAAAATTGGAGCAGAACCATTTAAACTCTAGAACCTCAGCAAAAGCAAATACATTTTTATAATCCACGGCACATGGAACCCCACAGAAAAACACAGTATCTGTTGAAGATGTGCTCAGAAACAAACAATAAAAATACTGTACTTGCAAAGAAATGATACAACACACAGGAGAGTCATCAGTTTCCATAAGGAGGAGAGTGAGTAGAAATACTGATGAGAAGAACTACTACTCTATGAGAATGAAATAAGGACATTTCAGGGAAACAAACCAAAGAAAGTTTAGCAATAATAGACTCTCACTAAAATAACTCCTGAAAAATATACTTCAGGAAGAAGGAAATCAGAGAGTGAGGGTGAATAGAAGGCAAGTAACAGTGAACTAAAATTGGCAAACATGGGGAAATCTAAATAAGCATTAAGTATATAAAACATTAATAATGCTAAATAATATGGAGGTATAAAAACAAACTGGTACAAAAAACACTGGAGCATAATAAACACATATAAGACAGGAGGAGACTGTTAATATTTAAAGTATTCTAAGGCTCTTGTATTGTTTGGAAGGAGGGTAGGGATATTGACTGAATTTGCACCTTGTTAAGCCAAGTATAAATGTTTAAACATTTAAGGATATGGACATCTAGTTTCTGGCAATGGCAAGCTGGGTTAGTTGATTCAACTTTCCTATTGAAGTAAGAAATATGCTGAGAAGACAGGGAAACTTCCAGGCCAATTTTTGGAGGAAAACTTGTAACCAAAAAGGTAAGCAGAATATTGGTGAAACAAAGCCAATTTGTTTTGAGAGCATTTGCCTCTATTGAAAGCCTGAACTTTAAGTAGCCACACAGGGCTAGAGGGAGAAAAATTAAGGCTTAGGGCCAGCCCAAGCCTTTAATAGGAGACCCTCCTTGTATAGGACACCCTCCTTTAATAGGAGACCCTCTCTACATTAACCTGAGATCCCAAAAGCCTACATTAGCTGCAAAAGGGCCAACCAGAACAAAGTCTGCTCCTGTTTCCAATAATCCCAGAGAACTGTACAGAAGGCTGCCCTGGCACCAAGCAGAGCTTGCTTGCTAAAAAGAAAAGGTAAAAAAGGGGGGAGAGAGTAAAAAAAAAATCCATCCCTGAGCAAATGAGGCTCCACTCCGATCCTCAGTTTTGCACCTTTATCACCCATGGCCTGAATCAGCCATGAAACTTCAAGTTATGAACTTGGTTTTAGGCGGCTCCCAGACAGGTCGAATCCCATGGAACTCAGTAAAAACAAATACAAAGCCTCTGGAGGAGACGCTATTCATTGCAGCTCTCAGGGAGCCTCCACAAATAAATTTTCAATGGCAATGACCAGAAAGCAGACTAAAAAGTCAAGCACATAAGGAAATAAGGCAACTTGAGTTAGAAACAGCAGGGATAAAAACAACAGAAACAGACCCAAATAGATTTCAGATAGTAGATTACCCTATACATATTTGAAACAACTATGTGTACCATTTTTTACAGAAACAAATTGTTAACTTGAAAATATCTGAAGGAAGAAAAAAATCTATAAAAGTGACATAACATATTGAGAAAAAAATAGAAAAGAACTTCCAGAAGTGAAAAACACCAGCTCAATGAATGTATCTGGCAGAAATGTGGACAGAGTGTTAACAAACTAGAATATAAACCCAAAAAGACGTGATCATCCTCTCGGTATGGAGAATGGAGAAAAAAAAAAAAATAGAAAAAACAGGAGAGAAAGAAAGAGATGAGGAGGACACAATGAAAAAATCTAGCACACATCTGATAATAGTGTGAGAGAAAGAGAATATGAATATAAATATTAAATGGGGCAGAGTCAATATTTGAAGAGAGAATGGCTGAAAAATTTTCTAGACCTAATGAAAGAAATCAATCCACACATTCAAGAAGCCCAACAAATCCTAAGTAGGATAAAAAGAGATCTAACCCAGACACTGCAAAAAACCCAAGAGAAAGAGAAAATGAAGTCAGAGAAAGATGACAGGTCACATCATAGAAAAAGCAATCTGACTTCTTAACAATCAGAAGATGGTGGAATGATCTTCAATTTGCTGATTGTTAACTTAGTGGTCTATACTCATAAAAAACATTTTTCAAAGAATGAGAGTGAAATAAAAGACATTTCACACAAACATTGAGATAGTTCTTCACCAGCAGAGAACCTTACTAAAGGAAATTTAAGAGTTTATTGTAAGAAATACATAGAATAAAAATGATCCCAGGCAATTTAATAGTGTATTGTAAGTAAAGCATAGAATAAAAATGATCCCAAGCACAAGGTCTGTGATAAATGAAAGAATAAAAATTAAAGATGATGGTAAACGTGGACAAGTATAAATAAATATGGAGGTATAAACAATAATCATTGCAAGTGAGATTTGAAAAGCAATCTAGACTTGAAATACCAGATGATAATAAGCATATGAGTTGGGAGGGTCAATGGAGTTAAAGTGTTCTAAGCTCTTGTACTATCTGGAAGGAAGGTAAAGGATTTTTTTAACTTTAGGCTTTTGTAAGTTAATTATGCTTGTCGTTATTTTTGAGGTAACACTATATGATTTCCAATCCACTGAGGGGAAAAAAGGGTGGGGGAACCCCATCAATCAAGTTAAAGACAGAAAAGGAGAGGAAAAATGAAGAAGCACTGAAAAACAATGGTAAAGAGAAAGCACAAATTAAAATGGTAGAAACAAATTCATATAAAAATAATACAATGATAACAATAAATGCACATAAATGAAACTCTCTAGTTAACAGTATCAGATTGGATTTTGAAAAATCCAGCCATGTGCTCTTTAAAAGAGACATATCTAAAACAGGAGGTCACAGATTGGAAGTATGAAGGAATGAAAATAGATATTTGGGAAAATTCTAACTGAAAGAGAGTCTAGTTCTGTTTATAACATAGCAAATAGATTATAAGGCCAAAGCCTTTATTAGTGATAGACAACATCACTAAAAGGTACAGTTCAGTAGGACAATGTGAAAATTATAAATTTTGTATGCTTAGTACATAGCTTTAAAATACATAAGGCAGCCTTGTTGACATGGCTCAGCAGTTGAGCATCAACCTATATGATCCAGGAGATCGAGGTTAGGTTCCCTGTCAGGGCACATCCCAGGTGGAGGGCTTGATCCAAAGTAGGGGGCATGCAGGAGGCAGCTGATCAATGACTCTCTCTCACTGATGTTTCTATCTCTCTCCCTCTCTCTGAAATCAGTAAAAATATATTTAAAAAAAATATATGTAAGGCAAAAATGGACAGAATTATGAGGGAAAACTGACAAATCTATACATAGTGGGAGATTTTAATATACTTTCCTTAGAGACTGTTAGATTAATCTGACAAAAAGTCAATGATATTAATGTGAATAGAGAAACAATACTACAGATACAATGGAGATTTAAAAATAATTTTGAAACATTACAACTTTTTATCAATAAATATAAAATTGACACTATCCCTCCCCAAATTTCAGATTAAACACTTACATGTGAAAAACAGAACTTGAAAACTTTCAGAAGAAAATATAAGGGAATATTATGACCTCAGAATTTCTTAAACAAAGCATAAAAAGAAAAAAAAAAACAAAACAAAACAAAGAAAAAGTTCCAGATATAATGTGAAGCCCCTCAAATTCTTTCTGTTTTATATATTGAAATTCTATCAGTCCCTTGAAGAATAAAGTTGTATTTATTCCAAGAGCAAATTTTGTGAATTTTATGTAAGCTGTTAATTTTCTGTCAAAAAGCAATTTCAAATAGTTAAATAGGGGCATAGTTTAACCTATAATGCCAATATTAAGAGAGAATATTAGTTACACAGTTTTAGGAAAGGTATTATATACTTTTTGAACTAACAGATGTGTATATTATTTAACATAAAAATCCAAGGCAGAATAACAGATATTATATAAGTGTTATTCTTTGTATGAGTTGTTTGCATACAGAGTATTCAAAACATTAAAAAAATCAATTTTAAGGATTGTGTTTAATTTTTTAGTTGCTTAATTTCATTTAGACTATGAATCTTTTGAGAAAAAGCCTTACTTGAGAATTCCTCACATCTTGTGAAGATTAAATAAAAGCAAAATGCCATCTTTCCATGTCAAAACTTCTTGTGGTGGGAAAACTCCAAAATTGTGTACAACGATGTTCATTATAAATCATCTTTAGTTCAGACTTCATAAAGATTATAAAGATTTCAAAGAAAAGAAATTTTAGAGAAAAATGAGAAGTCCCCCAAATATCATATTCTTCCACTGATCTCAATTGAAAGTATTTAGTTCTGAAAATGTGCATTCTAGTGAGCACAGGAGTCTAGCTGCTGACAGTGATGAGAACTTCATATTCTTGCATTATGTCAAGTTGTTAAAAATTTATTAATAAAATTGTACCTGTGAAAATCCTTACTGATAAAATGTCAGGATTATTCTTGTATTCCCTGAGTTTATCCTGTGATAATACTATTCAGCTTTGGCTTTGACTGAACATGGATGTCATTTATGTGTGTCCTTTATACCCCTATTATCCAGAATATAGAAATCATTGTTATAAAGCAATAAGAAGGATGCATAAGCCAATTGGGAAAAAAAAAGAGTAACATATATGAACAGGCAAATCACAGAAAAAGAAACCCAGATAGATGATATTCAATTTTACTAGCAATTAGGAAATGCAAATTAAACAATACTGAGACACCGTTTTCATACTCATCAGACTGGAAAAATTTTAAATTCTGAAAATACCGCCTTGGCATTGGCAAGGATGTTAGGGTAACTGAGATTTTCATATACTGCTGGTATATATCACTTTAGAGAGCAGTTCAAAGTTTGTTTTTTTTTGTTTGTTTTCTGTTTTCCTTTTTCTCACAGGTTTTGAGAAGGACGTGATACCAAGCCAGCCACTGAGCTTCTAGATATAAATGCTACAGAACTTCTGCACACAGAGGAATGCTTTTTATAGTAAAACTTCCACCAGTGAGAGAAGGGATGAATAAATGTTGGTATATTAATACAATGAAATGCTTTATAGAAATGAAAATCGATTAACTTGATCTATATGCAGCCACATGGATAAACCATACAAACATAATATTGTGTGAAAAAACAAGTTTGGGAGTGATACATATAGTTTAATATTATTTACGTAGATTTTTAAAATATACCAAACAACACTAAATACTGTTTTTAAGAACATGTACATATAATGAAAGAACAGAAATATTGACAGGAAGACAACAAACTAATTTTAAAATAGTGGTTA